TAGTCAGATTGGGGTAGAACTCCTCAAATGCTTCTTCATACTTGACGGCGTCAAGTATTAGGATATTAACTTCTATAAACTAATTAATACGAAAAATGAAGGTATTTTACTTGAAAGCTAACTTATCAATCCTAATTAGATTTTTGGCAATACATCGTTGAAATTATGAATTAGCTAAGGCATTTTTTCCTTCCGCTCTTCCAACTCACTAGGTGCAAATTAGATGAATGTTTAACATTTCTGCGGCGATATATAGAAATAGAAAAATTAAAATTTAATAAACGTCATCTATTCCAAGAAATTTTATTTTTAAGAGGTTTTTATAGAAGATGCAGAGGTCTTGCCCGATTCTTCTCTTTTTCAGATATTAACTATCTTTTCTTCGCCATTTTGTGATAACTTTTGTTCCAATTTCAGTTTACAATATCTGTTTTATTTTCCTATCTTGTTTTCTAAATCACAAAAGCAAAAATTAAAAAAGAATCGATCCCTTTAGATCATTTGATCTGGTCAAGATACTTAACTGAATAATAAATAATCTGAGCTGAAGTATTATTTATTCTGCTCTATAGAATCAAAGAGTTCCTGAATATCACTGTTTTTGGCTTATATAGTAGAAGCTCTGGTACGCTTTTATCTCTAAAACCAAGACTATTATATGGCTTGTGATTAATTCGGTAAAAATATTGCCAAACTTGTTGACCTTTAGGCCTATTCTTTTTTTATCACTTTTAATGGTATAGCCACACCAATTACCAGTGATTGCATTGATTGGCTTTATAGCCAAATTAAAATCTGGTGTTATCTTAGCATGAAACTTAAAACCAAAGAGTAATAAGGATTGATTACGGATTTCTATAAACTTTTTACAGGATGCACATTGACCACAGATTTTTCCAGTTATATGAATATATAAGCAATAGTATAATATCATCATGATTATATATAATTATTACTTCAATCCTGCCTTTTCATATATATGCTCGAAACTAGAGAAAAAATGATTTATAATATTATATTAAGGTATTTCATCTAATTTTACATATTCATTCTCATGATTATATTTTTTAAGTAATTCGGCTTGCTTTTTTCTACGATAATTTTTTCTTTTTTGATATTTGCCTACATGATTATTACATACGCTATATGTTGAATGAGTTAATTTATTACATTCTTTGCAAGAAATTTATGTCAGAGAATTCTAATGAAGTTTACATCCTTCTGGTCGATGACAACTTTGATTACAGACTTTGCCAGTTCTAAGAATATAAGAATAATGATAAAATTCCATATTTATTGCAATAACAACTAGTATATATAGAATAATTAATTATTAATTTCATTTTAAAGTTTAATACT